CCACCCTCTGTCAACAACAGTGTGCGAGGGACAGAGGCGACAAGGTAATCCAACTGCAGGTTTGTGTGAGCACGAAGAAATGGATCAGGTCCCAGGACTGCGCTAGAAACATGCAACACGAACTTGTATTTGAGCTTGGCCAGGTCGCGCGCCTGGCCGATGGAGACATAACCCAGCCGACCCGCGTCAATCTGCCTGCGAATCCAGCCAATGCGCACATGGACCGGCATGATACTGAGGCAGATGTGCGATGAACGGGAGCTCCAACACAATGTGAGAACTGCTCACAAGCAACCGCTCGACCGAAACAGCTTGAGCCAAAATGGCTACGGTGCACCTCCTCCTCCTCCTCCTCCCTCCTCCTCCTCCTCCTCCTCCTCCTCCTCCCTCCTCCTCCTCCCTCCTCCTCCTCCTCCTCCTCCTGCTCCTCCTCCTCCTCCTCCTCCCCTGGGGAACGAACAGTTAACCCGCATCTCGGGGCGAATCCAGCCGTGGCGCCGTGGGATCCCCAGGAGGTCCAAAGCGGCATCGACATCGGATCATTACGATCGTCTGGTCCTCCTCGTCCATCCGCGGTTTTCTTCTCCTCGGGCGAGGGCGGGGCACACAGCGGTAGGCTCGCTCCTGGTAGAACTGCTTCCCGCTGCGCTGGTCCCAAGCGATCTCCCAGCCGTGGCCTCGCACCCGTCACGCCGATCTGGCCCCATGTATATATATATATATATACATAAATGAATAAATGTGTATATATACACACATGTATGCAGGTGTAAATGCATAAATGCATGCATACATACATACGTACATACATACATACGCACACACACACAAACGAACAAACAAACAAACACATACATACGTGCATGAATGCATGCATGCATACATACATACATACACACAGCCATACACCTAAATAATACATATATACATACACATACCAACACACACATGCACGCACATACACACAAACACCCATACATACGTACATGCATGTATGTATGCATACATCTATACATGCCCGCCTGTCTGCCTGCCTGCAGATAGACATACATTCATACATACACACATACATACACGCATACATGCATACCGACAGACAGACATACATACATACATGTCCACACGCGTACATGCCCGCATACACACTTACATACGGACAACTATACATACGTGCATACATACATACACACACCTGCACATATACATACATGCATGCATACATGCATGCATACATACACCCATACAGACATACATACATACATACATACATGCATACATACATACATACATACATGCATACAGTACATACATATATGCATGCATGCATGCATGCATGCATGCATGCATGTACGCAAACACACATACAAACACGGACAGGCATGCATGCATACATGCATACACGTAATCACATACATACATACATACATACATACATACATACATACACACACATACATACATACATACGCACATGCATACATAAATACATGCATACATACCTACCTACCTACCTACCTACATACATACATACATACATACATACATATATACATATATGCATACATACATACATTAATACATGCATGCATGCATGCATGCATGCATGCATGCATACATACATACATACATACACACATACATACACTACACTACACTACACTACACTACAATACAATACAATACAATACAATACAATACAATACAATACAATACAATACATACATACATACATATATAGATACACACGTGTATGAGTACATAGCATCCCGCAGTTGCGGTAAGAGTGTGGAGGGCGGCGGGGTCGTCGGCAGCCTGCGAGGCCCTGACGAAGCCCGCCGCAAGAGTCACTTTTTCGCACGAATCCGCCGCAAGCAACGATTTTTCCATCAAAGCAATGTGGGTGAGTCGCCAGGTGGGTCGCGGGGTGGGTCGCCAGGAGGGTCGCGGGTTGGGTCGTGGGCGGGTCGCGGGCGGGGACGACAACCACGCAACATCAACAACAGGATTTTGCGGGCGCAACAGTTATGTTGATGCGCTGTGTTAAAGTCCCAAAAACGGCGTTCTGGCACGATTGTGGATCGTCAAGACGCAGCAGTCAGGTTGATACTTGGCGTTGGAATCCCGAGAACAATTTCTTGGCATGCTTCCGGGTCTTCAAACGGTTGCCTTCAAACGAGGCAGATCCGTCAATGAAAGTGAACCGTTGTAGGGGCCTATGAGGGAGCTTGGAGGGAGGGTGTATGCCAACATCGTTGATGGCTCTTGGGTCTACACTGTTCCTCCTCCTCCTCCTTCTCCTCATCCTCATCCTCCTCCTCATCCTTCTCCGTCATCCCCTTCTTTGGGTGCGACGTCTTACCCAACCCTTTTACTCCACTGCATTATACTCCACGTCCCTGGTCAGGGCGAATCGTCTGGTCATCGTTTCTGGATGGGCTGGTGGGGTAACGCGGAACGTCTATATCTACTTATGGTCACCTTCTTGTTATACTCGTATGGGCAACTCGTCTGGTTATAGTATGATCAGGGCAACTCGTCTGGCTATCGCTTCTGGATGGGATGGTGCCAGCGACATATTCAAAACGAACTATCACCCTAGAAGACGGGGGTCGCAATCGGACGCGCCAGTTCAAAGGAACATAATAACAGATCGACGACGAGTGTATAAACCGCCCACGCATCCCCTATGTGCGCCTCGTCTTCAGTCAGCGGCCAAAGATTCTACATGCCGATATTAATCGCCTTCGGAGCCGATGTCCCAGCACTCGAAGAGGCACTGGACGATAGCTTAGGCCTGGCCCAGGGCCCGATAAATTCAGTGGACCCCTGAAATCCTGGGACATCGGTTCCCCAGGTGGCGGAGATGCAGAAATGCCGGCATCGGGCTCATCCTGGACTTCCTCGACGCCCTCCTCCCCACGGCAGGTTCGCGCCGTGGCGACTTGCGCTGTGGCCTCTGACCCCGCGTGGACCTCTCGGCCTCGGCCGATCGCGGCCCTCCGACAGCGCAGGTCGCTCCATCCTGGCCGACCCCGGGCCGCACGCTGGCGGCGCGCAGAGGGGGTGGCGGGAGGGGGGAGGGCTTCTCACAAGGAGGCTGCCTCTTAGAAGGCGCCGGCCTCACCCCCACAGATCAGGCCCGCGCCCTCCAAGAAGCAGGGCAGGGGTGCTTCTGAGAAGCCCTCCCCCCTCCCCCCACGCCCCCTCTTGACGAACGGACAACACGCACCCATACCCATAGGGGGGTCGTTGGGAGGAGGACTGGCTATGGGTATGGGTGCGGGTTGTCGGACCCTGGGGAACGCTCCCGTTCGAGCGGGGACCCCCATCCGACAACACGCACCCATAGCCCTCTCCGATCCCCCTATGGGTATGGGTGTGTGTTGTTGGTTCGTCACCTCTGCGCGTGGCTGAGCACGACGGCAGCATTCAACCCCGCAGGGCCCGCGCCGGGGGCAGGCGCCCCGCCGGGCGCGCCAGTCGGGGTCATGGCCGGCCCGCGGCGCTCGGCCGCCCGCGCGCGGCGGGCCACCGGACCCGGCGGCCGGCTGGACCGGATGGCTCGCAGCAGCAGCAGCAGCAGCAGCAGAAGCAGCGGGCCGAGCTCGTCGTGCTGCGGCGGGTTGGCGCAGGGATGGAGTCGGCGACGCGGCGCCGACGTCATCGCTATCCGGGGATGTTCTGCGATGCTGGACAGGGTTCCAGGAACAAGGGCTGTTGCCCCCGAGCCTGCCGCAGACGAAGGGGCGGGCAGAGATCGCGAGGCGTCTCGAGCCTGGGTTTTTGTGGTTACGGCGAGCCTCGGCCACGAATAGGTCCCCCGACCAAAATATAGGAAACGGCCCGAAAACCAAAGCCACTCACCGACCCGATGTGGTCTTTATGTCAGCGTCTTGACTGTGCTCAATAGCGCGGATCCTTTGATTATCGACCGATGTTGGGTCTCTCACAGAGTTCGGTCTTGAACGCTTTTCTCTGGAGCCGCCGCCACGACATCGCGGCGCGAACCAGCCATCATAGCTGGTTCACTCCATAATCGAGCCTGCAAAACAAACTACGTACTCATACACACTGTTCGAAGGGCGCGGGGACAATGGAATTCGCATTTAGTGCTCCATGCAGGCCACCAGCTCCTTTTGGCTCGAGGAGACCACCGACAGCCAACACGAAGCTTTGAACGTGGGCTTGAGTTTGTATGTAAGGGGTCATACCATACACATGCAAGATAAACTTGGCGACGGCATGGTTTGAAATGCGCTAGGCCACGATATGCAGAAAGACAGTGTTGGTACTAAGGCAGGGCACAATGCGTAAAGACGAAATCTCACAGATGTCACGATGCACAGTTCACGGATAGTGGCTCTCTTGGCTCTCCTCGCGAAGCTGCCAAGTTGATGCGATGTGATCCAGATGAGATGCTTTACCACAGTCATTTTTCCAGCCCAGTCTTCTACGCACCTCTAGGTGTACGCCTTCTCGCTCTGTGTATGCACGCATATCTGTGTATCGAACGAGATGCAGGCCTCATTCATCCCTTCCTGAAGCGAAGCCTGGGGCATCACATCATCCCTGTGGTGCGACCAGCCCTGGCTTCAGGAACTCCAAACTCTCAAATATTGGCCTCGGACCTCTACCTCGAGCAGACCGAGCCAAGATCGACCTCGACCTGACAAAATGCGCTCCGTCACAGAATCGCCCAGACGCCAGAGTTCGCATCGCTCGAACTTTCAAGGGCAAAAGTAGTCGGACAGGCGCGGAGAAGGGTGCTAGTGCGTATCGACGGTCATGCGAGCACCTACAACATTGTTTTCACGCACGTGCATCACATTCGGGCGTGCAATCGCAAGCACATGGACAAAAGCATACTCGCGCGAACGCACACGTCCATACCAGCGCGCACGCACATACACGTGATCGTGTTAGAATGAAGACGCATGCACGTCACCCACACACACACAGGGAAGGCTGAGCAGAGAAGCGCTACCAGCAGCACGGCGAAACCCATTTTCCCATCGATTGAGCAGCAACGCCTCGCTGCAAAGGTCTGCCACCAGACACGGCCCAGCCGCTACAGCGGGCAGGAACAGGAGCTCAATCACGCTCTCATTTGGCTTGCATTGAGGGGACTTCCCCGGTCTCGCGCGCCCGCGCGTGAAGAGATCGTCTGCTCGTGCCATTGGCAGTGATGACCACGTGCTTGTTTGTACGATGAAGGACGTGGGAGGGGGGGGGGCGTCTCATGCCTCCGTCCGTTCGGGAGTAGCAACCTTGCAGATGACGAGGCGAGGTCACCGACTCCGAGTCCTACCAGCCTCCTGAGGGAGGAGGAGGAGGAGGAGGAGGAGGAGGAGGAGGAGGAGGAGGAGGAGGAGGAGGGGGGATGAAGGGAGGAGGAGGAGGAGGCGGAGGCGGAGGCGGAGGAGGCAGGACTCCCCAACCGAACTTCCTGCAACAAGTGGATACGACGGGCCCGCTCTCCGGCTCTCGCTCTCTCTCTCTCTCTCTCTCTCTCTCTGCGGCGAGTGTGACACGTGAAGCCCACCCTAACCCGAAGACCCGCATTTCGGGTTGCGGGGGTATGGATTCCACACGTTTTGTTTTCAATGTTCCCCGACCCCCCCCCAACTGGAAATGGAGGGCAAATCGGGGCCTTCGGGTTGGGTTGGGGTGGTTTGGTGGGCGGTGAGTTGGGAGGGAAGTGTGAGGGGATGGGAACGGTGGGATAGGGGAGCGAGGGCAGGTAAGCCTGACAGCTTGGGCCATCGGATTACAGGGCGCGGCATGGCACGGCCAATGCACCTGCGAAAACTGCGGTCACGGCAACCGTCGGGGCCGTTCTGGGCATTTAGCGTCATATCAAGATGGCACAAGCAAACAGACTGCACACTTCGAAAGCATATGCCGAAGCCTGGTAGAAGATTGCGCTACACCTTCAAACGTCGGCGGCGGCACCAGGTACCGACTCCACGCAGAAGCACTCAGCACAGTGCCTACTTGCACTTCCAACAAAATCCAGTCGACCCCCCGCCCCATTCCGTGCTCATTAATGCTCAGGACGCCCCTCCACGAACACCTTCCGCTTGGCATGTGCAGCCGGGGCGCGGGCGTGGCGCTCGAGACGGAGAACTCGAGGATGGCTCGTGCGGGGCCCGAGCAGGCACAAGTGGAGGGTGGACCCATCGGCGTCGACATTCCTCTCTCTCTCTCTCTCTCTTTCTCGCCTCCTCCTCCTCCTCCTCCTCCATTCCTTATATAACTTCTCCCTGTCGCACCCCGATGCCAGTTTTTAGGGCGGGCCGGGCGTTTCGCCTGAGACTTATTCACCATTTATGACTCTGAAGCTTCAAAATTGGCAACAGCTTCACATATGGAGGGCGGGTCGTTTTCAAAATGTGGTTCTCGCCTTAGCGCGGTGAAGTCTTTGTAAAATTTGCCAGAGCTTCACGGATTGAAGGCGGGTCGTTTTCAAAATATGGCTCTCGCCTTTGGCGCCGCGCACATTCGCTTTCAGAATTCGTAAGAGCTTCACGGATTGAGGGCGGTTCCTTTTCAAACTGTGGCTCTCGCCCTAGCGCCGCGCACATTCGTTCTAAAAATTGCAAGAGCTTCACGGATTGAGGGCGGTTCCTTTTCAAAATGTGGCTCTCGCCTTAGCGCCGCGAACACTCGTTCAACAAAAATTGCAAGGGCTTCACGGATTGAGAGCGGGTGGTTTTCAAAATGTGGCTCTCGCCTTAGCGCGGCGCACACTCGTTTTCCAAATTTGCTGGAGGTTCACGGATTGAGGGCGGTTCCTTTTCAAAATGTGGCTCTCGCCTGAGCGCCGCGCACATTCGCTTACACAATGTTCAAGAGTTTCACGGATTCCCATCATCAACGTTCCAGAATCGGCGGTTTGGAAGGATTCAGGATTATGCGGGCGCAACAGTTACATGGAAATCCTAATAATGGCCTTCTGGCACGACTCAAGCTCGTCAAGACGCAAGTCAGGTTGATCCGTGGCGTTGGTATCCCGAGAACAATGTCTTGGCATGCTTCAGGGTCTGCAAACGGGTGTCTTCCAACGAGGCAGTTCCCCCAATGGAAATGAACGGTTGTGGGGGCCTATGACGAGGGAGCTTGGAGGGAGGGTTTACTCCAGCATCGTTGATGACCTTTGGGTTTACACTGGTCCTCCTCCTCCTCCTCCTAGAACGAGAAAGAGAGAGATAGAGGGAGAGGGTCGATACGATGGGTTCCCCGGTTCCCCGGAAAGGTGTGAGGGCCACATCTCCCCCGGCCTTGGCCAGCCCGGGAGCTGCCTGGAGAGGCAGCCTCCCGCAGGCCGACGCGGCGCCCACGGGCAGAGCACACGGCGCGTGGGCGGAGGGCGTCGGGGCCCGCCCTCTGAAGCCCGACGACCGCCGGGCCAGACGCGCCGGCAACCAGCCTCGATAGGATCTCACCGGACATTCACCACGCCCATTCCTGCACATTCACCACGCCCATTCCTGCTCGATGCTCGATTCACCACGCCCATTCCTGCTCAAGGTCACCAGCCTCGATAGGATCTCAACCTCACCAGCACCAGCAACCAACCAACCAACCGGACACTCACACGCCCAAGGGCGGTGACCATCTCAGGGATGCGCCCTCAGGAACTGCGGGAACCCGCAGGAGCGGCCATCGACACGCTGCAGCCCATGCGCTGGACTATCATCTGCGAGTCTGCGAGGCGTCAACGGCATGAGCACTAGCAGCAGCACCAGACCGCCAAGAGAAGCGGCAGCGCCGAGGTCAGGCGATGCCGCTCGCAGGGGCGGGGACGTGCTCCGCGCTGCCCGGCCCGCGGCCAAGGCCCGAGCTGCAGGGCCGGAGCTTGGGCTCGCAGCTGCTGCCCTGCGGGCTCGGGAGGGCCAGCTCCGAGCGGCGCAGGGGCCGTCAGAGCTCACGGCAGGGCACCGCGTCACCGCCAGGCTGGACCCGCGGCTGGGAAAGCGACGAGGCACCGACGCCGCCACTCCACGGACCCTCTCCCCTGGGCTGTTCTGGCAAGACTCTCGGGCGAATCCAGCAGGTGGCAACCAGGGCCGCCCAGGAGGCCCGTAAAGGCGAAAGCGAGGCAAGGGTACAGCCAGAACGTGTATGAATGACGGGTGGTAAGGGTGCAAGACCCTTGGAGGCCGAAGCTGTGCTTTTTGGAGCGGCGGGCGACCAATGAAAACAGCAAAGGACGAGCCGCAGAGACAAGGACAGCAGGGCACCCTAGATGAAGGCGCGCGTCCTTACTCCGGCCATCGCTCGGACGTCCATTCTCTGTGTTCTTGTTAGGTTTCGTGCGTGTTTTTCTCGCCAAGTGATCAAGAATGCTGCTCGATGGTCCTCGCCGAGGAAACAACGCACACGTCCGAGCGATGCCACGTACTAGGCGCGTTGACTGTAGCGGTATCGGCACCGCTTCCTCCTCGGAGAAGCTGCTCCCCGAGGAGGCCGAACCCACGAGGCCACGGGCTCACTGCGACAGGCGGCTCCAGCGGGCGGCGCCCACGGGCCTGCGGCCCGGCGGGCGCGGGGCGGCCCGCGGGCGAAGGCCCACGGGCGTCCGGAGCGGCCGCGGGTGAGCAGTGACCTGGTAGGCGCCGTCGTACGCGTCGTCGCCGTCGTCGTCGACGAAGGGCGAGGGCTTTTCCTCGTGGGTGGCTCGATCACTGAGCCCAGGCACGCCCACAAGGATCCGCGGCCGGAGGCGCGTGTGAGAGCAGAGGGCGGTGAAGTGGTGCAGGCAGCCGCGGAGGGGGAGGTCGATGTCGAGGTATGCGTGGCCTAGTCGAGCCGCGAGACATTCGGGTATACGGGGCTCCCTGCTGCCGATCGTCGGGCACACACTCTGGGCTTTGCGCGACCCAGATCTCGTGCCAGCCGCAGAGCAGCAAACGCGACGACGCCGTGGGCACGGAGCACTGGCAACAGGCTCGAGGTGGGGCAGCAAGACCAAAAGCACCTGCGACGGGCAAGCGCGAGCGCGCTGCGAGGAGCCGCTCGCAGCGTACTGCACCGAAGTCGGGCGGGACTTGGGGCTGGAGCGGCCTGGGCCACCGTGTTAGTCCGCTCGAGCGCCTCCTCCCTGCTCCTCCTCCTCCTCCGCCTCCTCCTCCTCCTCCTCCTCCTCATCCACCACCACCACCACCACCACCACCACCACCACCACCACCACCATCATCATCATCATCATCATCATCATCATCATCATCACCACCACCACCATCACCACCACCATCATCATCATCATCATCATCATCATCATCATCATCATAATCATCAGCAGCAGCAGCAGCAGCAGCAGCATCATATTAATCATCATCATCATCATCATCATCATCATCAGCATCATCATCATCATTCATCATCATCACCATCATCATCAGCATCACCATCATCATCATCATCATCATCATCATCATCATCATCATCATCATCATCATCATCATCATCATCATCATCATCATCATCATCATCATCACCACCATCATCATCATCATCATCATCATCATCATCATCATCATCATCATAATCATCATCAGCAGCAGCAGCAGCAGCAGCAGCATCATATTAATCATCATCATCATCATCATCAGCATCATCATCACCATCTTCATAATCATCTTGATCATCACCATCATCACCACCATCATCATCAGCAGCATCATCATCGTCATCATCATGATCATCATCATCATGATCATCATCAGCAGCATCACCAGCACTACCACCACCATGGTCATCATCACCATCAGCATCAGCATCAGCACCAGCATCAGCATCAGCATCATCATATCATCATCACCATCATTCGCAGCATCATCATCAACATCATCATTATGATGATCATCATACTCGTCATCTGCGTATTCATCTTCATCATGATCACCCGATCACCCACCATTCATTCACGCATCATCATCATTACCATCATCATCAGCATCATCATCCTCATGATCATCCTCATCATCGTCATCATAATCATCATCTTCATCATCGTCGTCATCAGCATCGTCATCATCGTCATCCTTATCCTCACCGTTATCATCATCACCAGCATCATCATCATAATTATCCTCATCGCCAACACCATCATCATCAGCATAATCCGTAGCATCATCATGATGATGATCATCATCAGTATCATCATCATCACCAACACTACCACCATCACCATCATCATCACCATCAGCATCATATCATCACCAGCACAACCATCATCATCAGCACTACCACGATCACCATCATCATCGTCATCATACTCATCGTGATCATCATCATCCTCATCATAGTTGCCCCAACTTCCAAAGTGGGTTTCTTGTTTTCTGTGAACTCCCCCCGCGCATGATCTCTTTCCCCCTTTCTCTTCCTCATCATCATCATCATCATCACATTCCCACACACTCACACTCACACATTCACTCCCGCTCTCCGCCTTACTCACTCACCTCATCGTCATCATTCACTCACCTAGTCATATCCACACTCACTCGCACACTGACACCCACCATCAGTATCACCATCATTATCACTCGATCACTAACCCAGTCACGTACTCACGCACTCATCATCATCATCATCATCATCACATCACCATCATCGTCATCATCATCATCATCATCCTCATCATCATCATCATCATCCACTCACCCACCATCACCATCACTCACTCACTCACTCACTCATCACTTCGTCACCACCCACTCACTCCCTAGCTGAAATCCGGAGGAAGTATCAGGCGGGAAACCCTTTTCCTATGGGTGTCGCACTTCACGTTGGCAATCCGAGCGGGAAACCTGTCACTGTCGTCACTTTTGGGTTCCTGAACCATGAATATGGAGGATATATCAATCGGGAACTTCGTTTGTGAGCGAATTGCGAAGACATCTGTGGCGGGAGTTCCCTCCTTATGGGTCCCGCACTTCATGTTGGAAATCCGAGCGGGACGTCCCCAATCATGTCACAATCGTCACTTTTGGGTTCCTGTGGCCTGAATATGTAGGAAAACCAGACGGCTACCTCGTCTGTGAGTCCACTGTGAGTAATCCGAACGGGTCATCCTCATCTCTGTAAGTGTCGTCAAGTTTGGGCCCCTCAGGCCTGAATGCGGAGGAAAGTCTCAGGCGGGAGCCTCGTCTGTGACAGCGCGCCGGGCCAACTTCTTCGCCACCGCCACCTACCACAGGGAATCGGGCTGCAGGTCCACGTTTTCCAGGAATCCCCACTGTACGAAAAGGTCGCCGAGCTGCTGCTGCAGGGCGCCGAAGGCTCTGACGACGGCGGCGAGGCCCAGGTGCGGGCAAGGAGTTTGCTGATGTTCAGGCCCAGCGGACAGGAGCTCACGTGGCAGAGTTCGGGAACGCAGGTCGTGCGCCGCTCGGGGCTCACCCTGACGCACGCATCCTACCTGACCTCCACGCTGTCGCAAGGCCAGACGGTGCGCAAAGGCGTCACCATTGATTGCGCCAGGGATGAGGACGCTGGACGCACGGGCATGTCACCCGACCAATGGCGGCTGCACCTTTACGTCATATTCTCCCGCGCCACGCGCATGCGGAACATGCTGATCTTGCGGCCGCCCCCGCGAGACATCTTGGAGCGTGGGTCGCCACCGCCACTGACGAAGGCGTTTTGGAAGTTTCTCGCACACTCACACCCACACACCCACTCCCCCTCTCCACCTCAACGGGTCATCATCAACCCTGTCACTGTTGTCACTTTTGGGTTCCTGAAACCTCAACATGCAGGACATGTCAGGCGGCAGCCTTCTTTGTGAGTGAATTGTGAGAAATCTCAGGCGGGAGTCCCCTCCATATGGGTCCCGCATTTCACGTTGGCAATCCGAGCGGGTCATCCTCAAGCGTGAAATTGTCGTCACTTTTGGGCTTTTGAGGCCTGGATATGTAGAAAATACCAGGCGGGAACATCGTTTGTGCCTGTATTGTTTATATACGAATAATGCTGATAATAATAGTGGTAGAGATACTAATAATAATAATGATAATAATAATAATAATAATAGTACAAATAATAATAATAATAATAATAATAATAATAATAATAATAATGGTAATAATGATAATAATAATACAAATAATAATAATAATAATAACAATAACAATAATAATACGAATAATAATAATATTGCTGATAATAATAAAAAATAATAATAATAATAATAATACAGTAATAATAATAACAATACTAATAATAAAGGTTTGTTGATATATATGTATATATATATCAACAACAAAAAAACTCCATGTGGGTCCCGCACTTCACGTTGGTAATCCGACCGGGGCATCCTCAACCCTGTCACAATCGTCACTTTTGGGCTCCGGAAGCCTCAACGTGGAGGAAGTATCAGGCGGCAGCCTCTTTGGCGAGTGAATTGTGAGGAAGTCTCAAGCGGGGGTCCCCGCCGCATGGGTCCCGCGCTTCGCGTTGGTAATCCGAGCGGGTCATCATCATCCCTGTAACTGTCGTCACTTTGGGGTTCCTCGGGCCTGCATTTGGAGGAAATCTCAGGCGGGAGCCTCGTCTGTGACCGCGCGCCGGTCCAGCTTTCTCGCCCCCGCCACCTACCGCAGGGAATTTGGCTGCAGGTCCACGGTTTCAAAAAATCCCCGATTTACAAGGAGGTCGCCGAGCTGCCGCTGCAGGGCGCCGAAAGCGCTGACGACGGCGGCGAGGCCCAGGTGCGGGGGAGGAGCTTGCTGATGTTCAGGCCCAGCGAGCAGGAGCTCACGTGGCAGAGTTCGGGGACGCACGTCGTGCGCTGCTCGGGGCTCACCCTGACGCACGCGTCCTACCTGACCTCCACGCTGTCGCAAGGCCAGACGCTGCGCAAGGGCGCCACCATTGACTGCGCCAGGGATGAGGACGGTGGACGCACGGGCACGTCACCCGAGCAAGGGCGGCTGCACCTCTACGTCATATTCTCCCGCGCCGCGCGCACGCGGACCACGCTGATCCTGCGGCCGCCCCCGCGGGACATCCTGGAGCGCGGGCCGCCGGCGTTTCTGCAGAAGGCGTTCTGGAAGTTCGACGAGAAGGCGAAGACCTCCGGTGATGAGGCCGAGCAGCTCGCCGCGAAGTTTGGCTTCGTTTTGCCTCCCGCCTGCGCGCCGCGGCGCGCAGCTAGAGAACCGCGGGGTTGTCCTAACGGTCTGGCCCGTGGGTTTGTCCCGACGGTCTGCCCCCGCGCCCCAGCGGCCCGCGGGGTTGTCCCAAGGCATGGCCCGCGGGGCTGTCCCAAAGGCTTCGCGAACCAGCCGTCGGCGAACGCGCGCGCGCTGGCCGAGGCGGTGACGGCGCCGAGGGAAATCGATTAGCTTACATGGAGAAGAAGCAGGGGAAGGATGAGGACGGGGAAAGGGTACGAAGAGGGTGATGATGAGGAGGTGGACAAGGAGGAGGAGGAGGAGGAGGAGGAACAATAGGATGAGGAAAAGAACTAGAAGGAGGAGGAGGAGGAGGAGGGGGAGGAGGAGGAGGAGAGGGCAGAGCAGAGGGCGAGAGGAGGGTATCCGCCAGGGCGAGCAGGGAAGGGTCAAAGGCAAGCCAAACAGATGTTCAAACGGGGTCCTTCCGTTGGAGTCATTCATTGTTCACCCTCCTCCCTCCACACGATCCCCCTTCCACCACCCTCCACCTCCTCCTCCTCCTCCTCCTCCTCCTCCTCGTCCCGCCCTCCTGGTCCTTCCCCTCCTCCCTTTCCTCCTTCTCCATATCCATCTTCTTTTCCCCCGAGGACCACCACCCGCCACAGGTCGGCCAGCCGACAACGTCGGGCGGCGGCGCTGGGGCGACTCAGCAGCAGGCGCCCTTCTTCTTCTTGGTAACCTGCGGCGCGGTTGCGGCATATCGCGAGGGGAGGAGTGGGAGGAGGAAGAAGAGAAAAAGGAGGAAGAGCAGGGCGGGTCAAAAGCCGTTGGATTTCCGGGTGTTTGAATGATTGGGGCGGTCCCGGGTGGGCCCCAGGGGGGTCCCAGGTCAGATGACCACCCCCCTTGGGGGGGCCGGGCTCGTCTTCCGCTGGGGAATTCTTCCGCCGACAACAAGAAAATCATGCTGACGTTTTGCGAAGAACGTGAGTGGGGACCCCTGACGCACTCATAGGGACACAAAGACGGTCTTACTTGTTTGTCCCTGTTGAACTGTGGCTTTGCTCATGAATACCAAGTGCACCATTCTTTGAGCCGGGAAGCACAACCTCCTGGTCTCGTGGGAGAACTTTCGGCTGAGTGCCACTGATTTGCCGATTCACCATGGATTCCGGCAAAGGTTTCTTAGTGAGGTTAATCGGTTCTAGATGCTGTTGTTCAAGGTGTTCGTGCTCATCACGGCGAAAAGATGATGCTCTTCTAACCATGGCTGGATGTCCGTTGAGCGATATGTGCTAGGGTGAATGCGTATATAGGCAGAAACGCCCGACCGGAGAAAGGGCGCGCGCGCGAGCGGGCCTTTCCTTACCTTTAAATACACATGACGCTGCGGATGTATCACGTGTCCGCAGACCCTGCCAACCCCCATGTCTCATTTGGAAAAAGGTGGCAGAGAAGGAAAGGATGGCGAGGGAAGCGTTACGAATGACTCACTGCTTTGCATTGCTTCGCAGCGCTTTGCAATGCTTTGCAGTGATTTGCATTGCGTTGAATTGCTTAGAAGTGCGTTGCGTTGCTGTGCATTGCGTTGCATTGCTTTGAGATTGCATTGCGGTGCTTTGCATTGCTTTCCGCTGCGTTGCGCTGATTTGCGAGCATCTGCGTTGTTGCATTGCTTTGCGCAACATAGATTGCAGCACCTACATCGCACCGCATATGGTATAGAAGTCACTGGTTGGGGCCCACGATGGCTAACATATGTATGTGCTAAGGTGAGGCCGACTATACACCTTAAGAACTCAATGCGTGTACGTAATGCTGACCCTCAGGTCTGGTGCGCAACACTTCCGCCGATTCTTTGGATGGTACCCTGGCCAGCCAGAGCTAACGCCAAAGCACTTCCCCTCCTCACACCTACCTCCGCCACCCCTCCTCCTTCCCCACCTCCTCCATCCCTCCCGCCCCGTCCTCCCTCCTCTCTTCCTCCATTTCCCTCATCTCCCCACGCGCACATACAGGCGCAAATCGCTGAGAGATCGCACGCGCAGCATGGTCCCCTGAAATCTCACTAAGCCACAAACCGATCCCTCATCTCACCTCATGCTTTTATGTGTCAACGGCACGATTAGCAGGGGCCGCAGACAAATTACGCCGCGGGTGCCTTCGACTTGTCCGCCTTCTTGGTAGTCCCCTGACCAGCGAGGAGCAGCGAGTCATGACAGGATAGGTGACCCAAACTCGCACACCAAAGTCGAAGATGGCAAGAGGAAGCCTTTTGGGAGGCAGACTGCCTAGCATATTGACTTGCAGACGATGGGGATGTTGTGGGTAGAGGATGGGATGTGTATCGGTCCCACGTCCCCCAACGGGGTTATCAGCACTCCCAGTATCATTGCTCTTCTCAAATCTCTTCGCGAACACATGATGCGTACTGGTCCTACTCTTGGAATGACAACAGTTGACCTGCTATGACTGCTGATTTGACGACTGGTGCTAGCATTGCTAACATACTTGCTCACGGTGCGTTGCGCTATTGTCCTTCGCACCCTCGCGATGCGCCCCTGGAGACGGGCAGCTCTCCAGCCGAGGCAGCAACGCGTGAAGCGCGGTCGTCTTGTCGCCATTGGGAACGACCTAGTTTCGGGGAGACGCAAGACTCGAGTTGTGGGGACTCGGCTATGTTTTTTTTTTCTGACGGGGGCGGCAGAAACATGACGGAACCTAATCCAAAATGTGGCGCGAATTATCATTGCAAGCATCCAAGGAAAAGAGAGGGACGTCACAAAGACGTCGGCAAACTCGAGTCCTGGCAAACTCGAGTGGTAAGTTCCCATGGTAGTTGAAGAAGCAACTTGCGATGGCTCTTGGTCAACTCCATGGAGCCCAATGAGGCGCCATATCATGCGCTAAGGGGACATCATGCATCTCCCTCACATGGCGCTGTTGGGCGTTATTGAACGGTAGTGGCCGGTATTTGACCCCTATTCGGCCCTACTAGACGCTATTTAGCGACAGCGCTGTTGTGGGAGATTTTCGACGACGTACATTCAATCCAAGACGAGCGGACAGTTCCGTGATTTGCTATCTAACGTGAGGTATGCCCAGCCCCTGGCACCGTCTTCATCTGAGGATAGGCGCCAGCAACGGGAAGGCAAGATCCCGGCAAAGCGCGGGCGGGGATCAGTCGACACCCCATCCTCGATTGATCGACCGATCCAGAATCGATCAACGATGTTCGACGACGAAGACGACGACGACCGATCCGTCCACGAGCAATCCGCGGTCGATCCCCGAAGAAGACCATCAAGCGAGTCGATCGATCGACCGATCGATCGCTGAAGCCTGTGGCTGGCTGGGCCGCATCCCGAGAGAACCAGGATGTTAGCCATCGAATGGACTGTTAGCTCTACCCAACCATACTCAACCGCAAAAAAAGTAGAACCTCGGCTTGGCCTTGCGGTATGGTCGTGCCGCGGCGATCCTAACATTTTACCAGCCTGGAACATATCCCTATCCCTATGCTGGGCACCTCCTCATCACAATGCCAATCTTAGGGATTCCCTTATGTTTTGAGGGCGAATCCCTAAGATTGTCATCGCCTTTTGTCGTGCCAATCTTAGGGATAGGGATACGTTCGAGGCTGGTAAACATTGGCTTCAGACACTGCGCGGCTCGCTCGACCTTACACCAACACGGCTGTCCGATATTGCCAATCTCTCGGATAAAGTGCGTTTGGACCACGGGCACGTCCGCGGAGGGGTCGCCGCCGCGTCGACGCGACGCGAAACTGAAGTACCGCAACTGTACGACAAGTTCGGTGCAGACTCCGCTTAGCATTTCGCTGGCGCTGGCAAGTGCAGCCATCCATCAACTGTGTCGCAGAAGCCTCAGCCTGACCAGGGCAGAATAATTGCGCTGCTTGGCAACCTCACGTCAATCAAAGTTGCAGTAATCGTGAACATTTACTGCACGCTTACCTGTCCCACGTCGTCGAGTTAGCTTGGCTCCACCCCGATATAATTCGCTCCACGCCTTCCATGATTCACCCACGGCGTAAGGATTTCCAGGTGAGCCAGACGTTGGATTGCGTAGGTTGGATTGCGTAGGTTGCTGTCACATGGGCGTGGCATAGCATGGCGCTGCGCTGTTTACTCAGGTGTGATATGCCACAACCAACTCCCATCCAGCAACAACCGTCTGAACGGTGCCTCCCACGGCATCACATCCCCCAGCTAGTATTCATCATCATCGCCATGGACTTTGTCATCAACGTGTCTTTCCTCATCACAACTCTTGTTCCTCCTCCTCCTCCTCCTCCTCTTCCTCCTCCTCCTCCCCATCATAATAATCAGCATCATCATCATCAGCAACATCAGCATCAGCATCAGCATCATCAGCATCGACATCATCAGCATCATCATCGTCATCATCATCAGCGGCAGCGTCAGCATGATCATCATCAACAGCATCATCATCAGCATCATCAGAATCGCCATCATCATCATCATCATCATCATCATCATCATCATCATCATCATCAGTATAATCATCAGCATCATCATCATCATCATCATCATCATCATCACCGTCGTCATCATCATCAACATCCACTTCATCATCATCAGCATCAGCAACAGCCTCAGCAGCATCAGCAGCATCAGCAGCATCAGCAGCAACAGCAGCATCAGCATCAGCATCATCATCAGCATCATCATCACCAGCAGCAGCATCATCGTCATAACCATCGCCATCATCAACACCAACAACGTCATCATATATTTCCTCCTCCTCTTCCTCCTCTTCCTCCTCGTCCTCTTCTTCCTCCTCCTCCTGCTTCTCCCCTCGCCCTCCTCCTCCACCTTCTCATCCTTTTCATGCTCATCATTATCAGCATCCTCACCGTCGTCATAGGACATGTTCTGGATTGCCGTACCTCCGCCTCCTCCTGCTCTGTTCAGGAACTGGCCAATCGCGGCAGCCAATTCGTCGGTCTCGGGAGGCGTTGGCCGCGGAACCCCAACCCAACGGATGATTATCGCATGGCTCCCAGGGGGCCGATAAGGTATTGCGTGGAGCCTATGATTATCTCGCTCGGCGGGCCCACTCCGACTTCAGCCGACACGGATACTGAAACGAATGATGTTCAGGATGAAGCCCCACAAGGTTCCCGCAAGGTTACCTGTGCCCACTACGGCGTTAGCGTGGATGGTGGCATACGGCCACCTGCGCGCCTCGAGTTCGGCAAGTCTACGGCCAGCGTTGAGTGCCCAGCGCGCGGCGCATTTCCATGCGACGCGCGTCACATCGCTCGAAGTTGCCGAGGCACAGGTGATGCTAGACTTGGCGCCCTCGACTCCCTCAACGAGAGGGACCTTCCGCTGAGGTTTCTGGTTCATTGTTTTGGGGCAGAAGACGCTTCCCACGCTGCTGTTCTTCGCCGTTACCGCCTAAAAACACGCATTAATCGATGGATCGGTCGGCGCGGTATGGGCGACAGCCCCAATGGCACGATTTGCACCGATGGGGCTTACAACAAGTGTTAATTGTGGCCCGAAGCGGTCAGGGCTGGATTTGCTACGCTGGTGAATGTAAGCGTTGATGTTGTGGCTGATGGGGCCACCCCAATACCAGCGCTGTTTTCCCAGAGGTGCGGGCTGCTTGCGGTTCTGCAAGTGTTGCAGGTTCTGTAGCTGTGCGCATGCGGATTTCAAGGGCCGCGTTCTCGAACATCATAGGACGCCCGATTGGTCTTGCCACCCCCGTAGCTGACATGCAGACCGCCGGAAAACTACCACGAGGATAACCGATGCCCCTGGAGGCCTTGGAAGGGGGTCTTGAAATCAGGCATGTTCGAGAGCACCAAAGAAGTGACAACCTGCACGTGATATAGAGAATCGATGGGCGGATGTTGCCGCCGCGAGCAGGCGTGAAATCCTGACAGTTCCCCATAGCGTCGCCCGTGTCAGTCGCAATGCGTTGAGCTTTGTTCAGCATGTCCTCCTATGGCAGGTGGAAGCGAACACCTGGCACGTTGGGCATGACAGGGCGGGCACTTTGAAACGCGGGCGAAAGAAAGCCCGAGGCCCACGGAGCGCCTCGACGCGCCCGCGGCTTACTCCACCGATCCACCCTCGGCTGAACTCAACCACGTTGCTGTTTTTTGTCAGCACGGCCCCCGTGCTAAAATGACCTGCAGGTAAAAGTTCGGGATGCTGGGGGCGAAGGTTCAGCGCGCCCGCGCCAGATTGGCGCGCCTTCGTTGCTTCGCTCGAGCCGTTGCAGACATGGAGCGCTGCTCGCGAGATCGCCCATGGACCCTCCCGGGATTGCGAATGAAGCGGAAGCACCCGGCCCAAACGCCCCGTCAATCCTGGCCCGTGCTCGCCCCCCCCAGCCCCCCAGCCAAGGGTGCCCATGGCGCGCCCGCTCGCGACGCCCGAAGGCGAATGGCCTTCGCGCCTAATCAGCCGGCGCGAACGCGCGACGGCCGCGAGCTCGCGCGAGCTGCGACCGAGGTTCTGGCCGAAGCTTGTCAAGAGGCCCAAGCTCCACGCCGGACCACTCCTCCGCCATGTTCGACCGCCCGCGCCCCCCCCCCGCCCGTCGGCGTCGCTCTGCCAGAGGCGCGCCGCCGCCGCCTGCCCGAGCGCCCCCAGAACGCGGGCCCGCCCGCCACAGGGGCGCCCGACGCGGGCTGGGGCGGCAGCGGTCGTGGAGCACTTTCCTGACCTCTGCTGAGCGGCAGTGCTTTGTGGCGGGGGTGCTCCTCCTCTGCCCGCCCGTCTACTCGCTTGCGGCGGCGCGGCGCCCCCCGCGCGGCCCCCAGCGAGGCCCTCCTTCCACGCGAGGCGGCGAGCTGCTCGATCGGCCACCGACCCTCCGCTCTTCGAGGTCCACGGGGGGGCCCTCGCCTCCTCTGGACAAGGGGGCTGCTGCCGTCTGCTGGCGGGGCCGCCCTCACAAGCCCCCGGCGACGCCGGCGTCCTTGGCCGCCTCGCCCTCCGCTCGCTGCGCCGGCGCTGGGCCGGCCGGCCCCTGGCCACCCGCGGCTGGGCCGGCGGGGAGGGGCAGCCGCCGCGCGCGCTCCGCGCCCGTCGCCCGACGAAGGAAGCCACTGGCCATGCTCGAGGGGGCCCGGGGGCCCGAACATACTCAGCGAACGACCAGCACTGGTCGACGCACTGCTCTGCCACACGCGCGAACGCCAGCACGCGCGATGAAACTGCTTGCGCGCTCGCGCCAAACACGCAGCGCATCGCATCGCAGCGCGCCCCAGAGAACGTCGGTCGGGAGGTGGCCCAAGGTCTACAAGTGGCCCGAAGCCAACGGGGGCGTCGTCTGCCGCCGCGGCCGCGCCTCCAACCTCCGCGCCCTCGGGCGGGGAAGTCGCCCATGCCCCATTCTCGTCGGCCATCGGCTGCACGGCGCCGCAGGCGGCCCCCCAGTCTCGCGCCGAACCCCCCCTGGTCGGCAGAGCGCGCGAGCGAGGTGGCCGCCCCGCGCCCCACTTCCTCAGCGCTCCGCGGCGGCCCGCCACGCGCACGAGCCGGCGAGGCCCCCGCCCGAAAAGTCGCGCGAAGCCCCGCCGACGCTCGGGGCCGCTGTCACTTCACCGTCGCTGCCCAGCCCTGCCACTTCGCTGCCGCAGCCAGCTCGCCCGCCGAATTCGGCGGGCGACGAGGGCGCATGCACCCATGGAGCTGAGGGGGGGCCGGGCCAGCGACTGCCCGCGCGCGAACGCCCGCGGGGCCTGCCGCCAGGCCAGTGCGCCTCGAGGAGGGTGGCCTGCGAGGCGCGCCCTGGCGGACCTCGCCCGAGACCAACCTGGCCCTGGCCCCCGAGCAGCGAGCGGCCGCCAGAAATACAAACACCCGCTGCCCCGATGGCGCTGCGACCAAACGAATGCCGCGCAAGCGCGGCCCCGAAGCTCTGTCCGCCGCCCACGGGGCCCGCCCCCTCCGCGAGGGCGCACCCCGCGTGGAGCGCCCCCACCCCCCCGCCCCCCGCCCGCGGCCGCAGGGGGGGGCGCGCGAATGGGCCCGCAGCGGGGGCACTGGGCGGCCCGCGCAGCAAGCGGCTGCGAAGCCTTCCGCCCCGGCCCCGCCGCGGGCAGACGAAACGGGATGACGGGGGCGCGCGGGCAGGCGCGAGCGCGGGCCCCCGACCAGAGCTGCGACGCACCAACTAACGGGCGAGCCAAGCGGCCCCGAAGCCCCGCCCGCCCCCGTAGACCCGCCCCTCTGCGAAGGCGCCCCCGCCCCCGTCGAAGGCCGCCCTTCCACCCCGCGGCGGGGAGAGGGGGCCCGCGAACAGGCGGGCGCCGTCGGGGCGGGGGGGCGCCCGCAGGTCGGCGGGCCGTTCGGCCCCCCTGCGCCCCAGCCGCGCGGAGAACGGGCGCGAATGGTCGCATCTCTTTCAGCCGCGCGCGGCCCGCCTGCCCCCGAGCGCGAGGCGACTGCCGCGCCCGACGCGCTCCGGGCCCAGTGGGGGGCGCCTCGCGCGCCCCCCACGGCAGGCGGGGCCCCCGCCCTGGAAGGTCGCGCGGGGCCCTGCGCTGCGGATGAACGCACTCGCGCTGGTCCGCTCGAGCCGCGCGGCCAGCTGCCGTGGCGCGCCGCCGCCGCGCGGCGGTCTACTGCCCTCGCCTGCCTGGCGGCCATTCCTTCTGCCCGACGGCTGCGCCCCCCTGATCTGCAGTCGCATGCGGCGCCGCCGCTGCCGTCGCCGGAGCGCCGCGCTGGGCCCCGCCGGCTCTCTGATCAGAGCTCGCCGTTGCGCTCGGCCAAGACGGCCGCGGCCGCATTCCGGCGTTCGACCGCGCGCCCCCCCGCAGCTTCGCGAGCCGCCCCATCTGCCGGCTCGCCTTGGGCCCCGAGCCCGCGGGGCCAGATGTCGAAGAACGGGATCAGGCGACCGATCGCACTTTCGCGCTCTACCTGGCCCAACATGGGACGCCCCTCGGGCGGGCGGAGGACGCGGCAGTTGCCCGCGAGCATGTCCTCAGAGAGGCGCCCGCCCTCCGTCCGTCTCTCCCCCGAGAATGCGGGCACGTGCTTGACGAGCTCCTCGCAAGCCCCCATCGTTGCCGGAGTCGGCGGCGCCCATGATCGCGCCGATCACCATCCTCAACGGCCCGTCCAGCGGACCGCCCGCGGCGCTGGTGGCGGGCGCCATCTTGGACGCCCTCGGGATCAACAGGGTGCCCTGCTGCCCCGGGGGCCCCGTGACCGAAGTAGATAATCTCCGCCCGGTCTCCCAGTCTGTACTCATCGGACTGCTCGATCTGCCTCGCCTCATCGTCGCCAGCCACCCCCGCGCCGCCTCTCGCGACGATGGGGCGCGACGGAAAGATGATGGCGCGGTGCGTCACACGTCCTTGCCCTTCTCCGACCCTCTGCGGCCGCGCCTCTTGTTCGCGCCCTTTAGTGGCCTCTGGCGGCGGTGCCCCCTGGCTCGTTTAACCATGTCGGCACCGCGCAGCACGCCCGCTCCATCGGCTTGAGGGGGGCCGTATTGCAGCGCGGAAACACGCACATGATGTGGCTATTTCCACTGAGGGCCATGGCGAAGGCTGCTGAGCTCCTAGCCGCACGCCCTTCAGGACAACCTCGTGAATATCCTTCAGCTAAACGTTCGGCACCACTGGGCCGTCCGTGTTTTTCCTGATACCCGCCTCAGTGGCGTGGTCGATGGACCTGGCCTCATGCGAAGGCGACCCCTCCATCTGCTTCTCCCTCAGGTTGAACCATTCGGCCTTCAGGCTGTCGGTTCCCGGCCTGGGCCACTTATCCTTATCACCGTGATGATTGCCCCCGTGGCTCCTTGCGCTACGGGTATGGGGTTATGTTGAAGAGCGTCCTCGGGCACTCGCCAACCATGGGCTTGGCGGCGTCCTCGTGTGCGACGGAAGACCCGATGCTCTGGAACCGCAGAATCTCACCGCTCCCGTAGGCCAAGACGACAAACGATGCAACACCGTGCCCATTTGTCCACAAAAACGGCGTGTAACTGGGCTGATCACGTGACCACCCGCGAACGCACCCGTGCCGTCGGCCTCCTTGACAAAAGGCGTCCACTTCATCTTGAAAGTGATATCCGGAGTCACGTCTCCGTCTCGGACCTCTTGCCATCCTTCTTCGCCCAAGTGCGAGCCAGGCGGGAAAAAGACTCGACCAGCCGGCGACCTCCCCAAATGGCTCGATGTGCGTCCCGTCCTGGAGGGTCGTACAAAACGGTGCCGCACATTCCCGACGTTTCTCCGCGGTCCGCCGCCTGGCGGCCTGGCTCCAGTCTTGGAAGGTCGTACGGAGCACTGCAACGCGTTCTCGACCCTCCTCCGCGGTCCACCAATTCGGCCCCTCCGCCATTTACGCCACGACTATATATATAAAGACAGATACATATATGTATATATGTTTGTATGTATGCATGCATGCATGTATCTATGTATGTGTATGCATGCGTGGACGAATGGATGTGTCTATGCTGAATGTTTGCATGTATGTTTGTAAGCACGTATGTGTGCAAGCCGGTATGTGTGCGTAGGTATAAACAGTGTGTGCACAAATACACACACGTAGGCACCCTCCGACGAACTGCGCACGTGCCTTCAAGGAGGGCGGCGGTGTATATAAAGCTGCTGGCTCTCAACGGTGAGTCACGCACCGCCACCCTCCACCGCGGCGCAGAAACAGCCCATGGAAGGGCGCCCGTGTGACATCTGTGCGGCGGGCCTTCCTCCTGCGCGACGGCATGGCAGGCGCCAGGGAGGATGAACGCCCCGCTCCGCCGCGACGCGGCGGCGAAAGCGCAGACCCAAGGGGCCAGCTGCATCGCCCGACCGTCGTTCAGAAACGGCCGAGCGCACGAGCCCACACGGCCTCGGACGTCGGGCGGGGGAAGAGGGTGCACACTCGTGTTGGCGCACGGGGGCTTCCCCAGAGATGGGAGCTCCAGGGTGACTACGGGTATGCCCCCCCTCTCTCTCCATGTGCACGCAAGGGATGGTCCTGGGTCCTGGCCCCTACCCCTGGTGGTCCTGGCCAGGCTCAGTGGCCAGGGAGCCCAAAGACTCTGGACAGTGAGACGGGGTTGCAGTGTGTCGGGTTTTCGTGGGAGGGGATGGTCAGGCTGGGCCAGGCCGCCCGAGCCGCCGAAGCCGCGGCAGCAGCTCCAGCGGCAGGCCAGGTGTGACACCTTCAAGCCCCTGCTCACGAGCCCCAACCGTATGAGCTCGCTCACCCCCTTTCCTTGCATGTCGAATGTGGTCACTCCTCTCAACACCTGAAGTGTGTGCCTCCTCCTCCCCCTCCCCGTCCCCCTCACCCTCCCCCTTCTCCTCCTCCTCCTCCTCCTCCTCCTCCTCCTCCTCCTCCTCCTCCTCCTTCTCGGTGCGTGGCCTTGCCCGTCTTGCCAGCGGACGGCTTGGCCCCCGTGGGCGCGGCGTCCGTGGTCGCCTGGGCGCGGGCGCGGGCGGGGGCGAGGCCTGCCGATGCCCCTCGGGTCGCTCCGACTGGCCCGCCCTCGAAGCTCGAGGACCCAGGATCGAGGATCGAGGAGGGGGGAAAAGGGGGGAGAGATCGAGGATCGGCGCGGAAGCGGGAGAGATCGACGTCAGTCGCTCCGCCCGCTCCGCCCTCGAGGGGTGTGGATGGCGGGGGGGGGGGAAGGGAAGGAGCCATGTACAGTCGGGGCGTTGACCTAAGGAACGATAAATAAGGAACGAGGCCCCTGTTTCTCTTAACTTAAACTTCGATTCCCCATGGAAAACCTAAGGAAAACCCAAGGCAAACTGTAAAACAAACAAGGAACTCCGAGCTCCTCCCCAACGAAAAGGGTTCCTTAGTCAGCGCCCCGACTGTAGGACCGAAGGGGGAGCCAGCCAGCCCCCCCATCTCCCGGCGGGCGGCGAAGCGGCGCCACCTCCGCCACTGCCAGGGAGAGGGAGGCCCAGCTTCCCCACTGATGGGACGAGCACGCCACGTCGCCCGCTCGACCTCGAGGGCGCCCGAAAGGCTGGGCAGCGCCTGAGGATGGAGGTTCGGATATCGAGGCTCGAGGACGTTGGGCGTGTGTGGACCGTTCTGGGCATCCCGGGGCACGCGGGGGACGTCTGGAGACCTCCAGGGAAGGGGGGAGGGGGGAGGACGAGGAGTATACAGAGGAGGGCAAGGACAGGAGGACGAGGGTGAAGATGGCCATCAGGAGGGGAAGACGAGGATCCCCCCTCGTTTTCCTCCTCAGTAGCCTCCTCCTCCTCAGCAGCAGCAGCAGAAGCAACAGCATCATACTCAGCATCATCAGAGTCAAAGTCACAGCCATAGCCATAGTCGTACTCATAGTCATAGTCATACTCATAGTCACAGTCATGGTCGTAATCGCAGTCGTAGTCACAGCCGTGGTCACAGACAAAAACCTAAACATGATGAGCATCATCATCATCATCATCATCATCATCAGCATCAGCATCCTCATCATCATCGGCATCAGCAGCATCCGCATCGTCGTCATCATTAGCAGCAACAGCCGCACTAGTAACAGCATTAACATCATCAACCTCACCATCATCGCCATCATCATCATCAGCATCGTCGTCGTTAACATAATCAGCAGCAGCAGCATCAACAATATCAACATCAGCATCATCTGCGTCATCATCAACATCACCAACATCAACAACAGCATCAGCAACATCACCATCAGCATCAGCATCAGCATCAGCATCATCAGCAGCATCGTCATCATCATCACCATCATCATCATCATCATCATCATCAGCATCATCATCAGCAGCATCACCATCATAGTCAGTATCAGAATCACCATAGTCATCATCATCTGCATCATCAGCATCGCCATCAGCATCAGCATCATCAGCCGCATAGTCATCTTCATCAACAGCAGCAGCACGGTCATCATCAACTGCAGCATCATCACCACCATCACCACCACCACCACCATCAGCATCATCAGCATCAGCATAAGCATCAGCAGCATTAGCAGCATCAGTATCATCATCATCAGCAGCAGCATATCATCAGCAGCATCATCAGTACCATCGTCATCAGCATCATAATCATCATCGGCATCAGCATCCTCGTCATCATCATCCTTGTCGTCGTCATCAGCAGCAGCATCATTCCGCATTCACTGTGGATGCCGACACGCGGTCGGCACGCGTTTCGCACCACTTGCACTGCAGCCGATGTGCTGTCAATGCAGATCAAACGATTGATTTTCACTCCGACCACCCACCGACCCCCTGACCCTAACTCTGTTGACCCATTCTTCCTTGCGAGATCCTACAGAAGAGCCCGCAGAGTCTGCACGCACCGTGGAGAGAATGAACGTGTGGACCGACAGGCTGCAGGATCAGCAACAGCCATGCAACACAGGAGAAGAGGACAGGTGCAAGGCCACAACAACAACAAAAAAAAAAGATCGTCTTTCCTCCCTCGTCTCCCTAACCTGAGGAAGCATGTAAGAACCCCCCAGGGGTTATCTTAGCACCGCAATGCTATTCAATATTCCACGGGGGCATTTTCGCGGAACGATATCTTTAGCACCGCGTAATTTTCGGCTACACGCAGGAGTGACCCTGGGTAAGAGTGACCTTTGGTGCGCGGCTTTTTTCGAGCCGCGAGGGGACCAAACACAGGCGCGCAAGACGCCACTATCGCATCGCGTTCGGCGATTGGGGGGCCCCACTGGGCCCGCACCAAAGGTTACTCCGGCGAAAGGTCACTCGTACGTCTAGCCGAAATTTTCTAGAAAATAATGATGAATTCCCGCCCCCGGGCTCGGGTAGAATTCCCATTGGAATCTGGAGGCGTCCGATTTGAATTCGGCTGGATACGAGCACGAATATTCGTACTATACGACAGTACTGATAAAAACACGATTAGTAAGTACACGAGTCCAAACAATATTAAGCATCGAAACGCGAATACGAAAAATAAGACTACAAACAATCACACACATACGAACGGGAAGAAAAACAATAATACTGAGGAACTGCCGTACGCCTTGACACTTTGCAACGGTTTAGATGTCCCAGCCGTCGCACAGGGAGGTCCATCCGAGGATATCGCCCCCGACCCGCACGGAGCGATATCTTAGCACCGCACGCGCACCAGACAAAATGGTCTCAGCGCCCCCCCATCCGATAGCACTACGAAAAAAAACAGTATGAATGATCATCCGGAAAGACAACGGATAAGAATAAGAATGCGAATGAGACTCATTTTGGGATCCTACTGGAATCCTGCTGCATTCGAATGCTATTGGAGCCCTCATGAAAGCCGGTTGAGATCAAATTCAAATCCTCTTGCATTGGAATACAATTGGAAAACTATTGAATTCCTACCGGAATCCTAT